ATTCCCAGAAATGTCAGCTTTCATTCCACCACCCCCTCTCCAAATGTTTCTGGATCTCAAGGCTGCAGAGTAGTTTGCAAATGTACAGTTAGCCCTCTGTATCCACGGGTTCTTTATCCACGGATTCAAACATACACGGTTTGAAAATATTCAAAAAATATATAAATTCCAAAAAGCAAACCTTGGTTTTGCTATTTTATATAAGGGAGCCCATTTTACTATACCATTATATATAATGTGACTTGAGCATCCACAGGTGTGTGTGTGTGTGTTCTGGAACCAAATCCCAGCAAATACTCACTGAATAAGCAAAAATCCATGTTCATATCTATGATCTGTATGACCTTCCTAAATGCTCCACTTGTGTTGATGTACCAGTACAACCTTATAGTTTGTTTTACCCTGCATTAAAAAAATAAAAATAAAATTACATTCCCTCCCCCCCATGTGTATGCTAGGGCATATGACGGATAAAGCTGATGCACAATTAATGCAGTACACCCTACTTTGCATATTTTGACTTTTAAGCCACTTGATCCTTGACAATGTCTGGATTTTTAATCTTATCCTACTGCATAAAATGACTTTAGTCTCTGTCCTCCATCTTCTCCTTCAATGAAACATTTCGGTAGGCAGCTACCAGCATTGACTAGCTCTGTCTCCAGTTTCAGGTAGGAGTATTTCACAGATTTTATCTGTGACATACAGAATTCAAACTGTAACCTCTATCACTGAGGTTACAACACTTCTTTTCCCCTTAGTTATCATCCTCTCAAGAGTCAAAGCAATCAACTGACATTCAATATCTTGTGTAAAATCCTTGCACCCTCCAACTGTCCTGATTTGTCAGGGAGGGGACTGATTAATCCTTTGCCATCCCATTTTCAGCGGACTTTTCAATGCTCCTGCTTCTCTTTCCTCCTCCCACACTCCTCTTTGTTTTCAGCTTACTTCAGTTGCTGCAAACTGAGTTCAAAGTGCAAAAGTAGTAGTTAACTCAGGAGGGGAGGGAATAAAATCTTGCCCTTCCCAACAGTAGCATCCCTAGGGTTGGTGTCACACCCCCTCCATTGACCTCCTCCTATTTCACATCATACAGAATCCTTAGTAATGTTTTTTTT